GAAAAAGGAGTCCAGCAGGTCAGGACTCAAACTGTAATTGCCCAAGTGGGAGTCTAGTTCCCCCAATTACCATGCCACCTGATGGTCCCAATTATTTCATTTATTTATTTATTTATTTATTTATTGAGAGATTTTTTTGCTATAGGGCATGTGCACTCACCAGAGAGACAGAAAGCCAGAAATCACTCCCCTCCCCACCCCCCACCCTCCCATGGGGGAATGGCTGTGCTGCAATCCTTTCTCCTCCCCTCTCCTCCTTTTGTCTTGTGGATGGCTTCTCTTGGGATCTTGGGCATGCATCCACATGCGACTGGTGTGAATTTAAGCTGCTGGGTCTGGGACTTGAACTGTGGTCGACTATGTGGGAGTTCAGTGACATAACCATTATGCCATCTATCGGTCCCACAGTCACAATTATTTTTAAGATCTTAAATTACCTGAAAATCGAATAACATTATATTTTCAATTACCTGATTCATCTTTAAAACTGTATGCCTGGGGACCAGCAGTTAGCGTAAAGTCTATGTCGTTGACCTCCCATGTAGTCGAACGCGCTTTGAGTCCTGGACCCAGTGGCTTAAACTCACGCCGGCTCCCGTGTGCGTGCATGCCCGAGATCTGGAGAGGAGAATGGAGAAGGGATTGCAGCGTGGCCATCCCCCCTGAGGGGTGATTTCTCGCTTTCTATTTCTCTCTGTCTGTCTTTCTGGAGAGCACAGGTGCCCTCTAGCAAAAACCTCTCAAAAAAAAAAAAAAAAAAAAATCTACAGGCCTGGGATGGCAGGTGGCTTGGTGGTTAAGGGTAAGGGCGCTGGACTTCCATATGCTCATAAGCACGCCTTACAAACAACTCACTCCCTGCAAACTTCTTTAAACAAAACTAAGTTTGTCAGTGAGCTGGCATTTTTCTTCAAGATGGTTTCAATATAGAAATTGCTGGCTATGAGAGAGAGAGAAAAAAAATGACCCCAGGCTGACTACTGCCACAAAACTGACAATTGTTTCCTTCTGAAATAGAAAATCTTCTCATTGGGACCAGCAGTTGACATAATGGCTATGTCACTGGACTCCCATGTAGTTAAACTGTGGTTCAAGTCCCGGACGCAGTGGCTGAAGTGTGTGTGCATGTGTGTCCAAGATCTTGAGAGGAGAATGGAGAAGGGATTGCTGTGTGGCCATCACCCCTAGGGGGTGATTTCTTGCTTTCTGTCTCTGTCTCTGTCTTTCTGGTGAGCGCACATGCCCTATAGCAAAAACCTCTAAAAAAAAAAAAAAAGAAAGAAAAAACAAAATCTTTTCGTCTAAGACCTTGCAAATCAAGGAGGCCCACTAGGTGAACACATCCACTTAAACTGACCATTGAATTTATCATATACTTGAGACTTCTGCTCTTAAAGTACAAAAAAGATTCTTGTTATCAATGGGGTTGAATGGTCTGTTCATGTTTGTGCCTCCTTTCAGACCCTCTGGAAAGAATTTTGTAAATAGGAAAAAGCAGTCAAACTTCCGTCTGCAGTGGTGAACACTGGAACTTGAAGAGAAGGGACCTTCAATAAACCAATGCAGTTCAGAGAGGTATGCGTATTGCCTATGGTTACAGCAGACAGATCCTGGTTTAGAACTCCAGGCTCCTGGGCATCCCACCAGCTTGTTTGGTTTCCTTTCCTTGGTCACCGATTGGAGGTGGGGGAAACAACAGTCACCTTGGGCGCAAAACGACACGGTTGCAGACCTCCCACTCTATGGCCTAGAGGAGGTCCCTGTGTGCCTTTGGCTGCAGGTACACAGAGAAGCTCAACCAATCCAGAGAGCTCTCAAGTCAAGAAGGCAGGACAAGGAGAAAAGTTTAGGACTGGAGGGCCAGCCAATCCGGTTTCTAGCTGCTTGAGCGACAGCTGCTAGCACCCATTTGGAGACGTCTGTCAGAGCCAGGGATGGTTACTGGACGGCGGACCAATCAGTGACGGAGGAAGACGAGCTTGAGCCAATTAAAACTGAGAAGGTGGGAAGGGGCGGAGTTCGCCCGGTGGCTGGTCGGTGGTGGGTGAGGGATCAGCTTTCTCTGTTAGTTCTCACCTTCGGAGCTCTTAGTTCTCGGACTACGGGAAAGAAAGGCTCAGCGGGTTCACGGAGTGGGGTGCATAGGCATAGCTCGGGAGGGTCTGGGAGCAAAAGAGAATCTTAGTTGGAAGAACCGTGGAAGCTACCGGGTGGGCATCGAGGAAGCGGAGGCTGGTTGGGGGGCAGGACTTCCGGGAGGCCGGGCTTTTGAGCGTGGGCGGGACCTGTTGCTACGGTTAGCCCGAAGGGGCGGGGCTTGTAGGCGATCCTTGGGTGTGACCTAGGAGAAAGAAGCGTAGTAACTTTAGCGAGCGTCTTGGGGTCTGAACGGTGTTGCCAGAGGCCTTGGGGTGGCAAGCGTTAGTTAAAGGCTGATGTTAAGGTTGCTGGGGAGGTTACTTGCCCTAACCCACTGTCCTCTTTTCCCAGGGAGCCACTGGTGGGGACCTTTCTAGGCCCCCTTCCCTTCGTGGGGTGCTATGGAGTTCCCAGAACACAGTCAGCAGCTGCTGCAGAGCCTCCGGGAGCAGCGGTCCCAGGGTTTCCTTTGTGACTGTACGGTGATGGTGGGTAGTACCCAGTTCTTGGCCCATCGGGCTGTGCTGGCCTCCTGCAGCCCATTCTTCCAGCTTTTCTACAAGGAACGGGAATTGGACAAGAGGGATCTGGTGTGTATTCACAATGAGATTGTCACGGCCTCAGCCTTTGGGCTGCTTCTGGACTTTATGTATGCTGGCCAGCTGGCTCTGAGGGGGGATACTCCTGTGGAGGATGTCCTGGCAGCTGCCAGCTACTTACACATGAACGACATCGTGAAGGTGTGTAAGAGGAGGCTACAAGCCCGGGCCCTGGCAGAGGCGGACAGCACCAAGAAGGAGGAGGAAACCAATTCACAGCCCTCTAGTTTGGAGTTTTTGTCCAGCACATCCCGAGGCCTCCAGGCTTTGTCGGCATCCACGGAGACGTCAGGCCACTGGGGAAAGGGGGAATGGAAAGGCCCAGCTGCTCCCTTACCTACTGTCTGTCCTCCAGATGAGCCACCAGTGCCCAGTGGAGCTGACACTACACAGCCTGGCATGGAAGTTGATTCACCACATCTTCGAGCACCTCCCCCACCAGCAGCTGATGTTTCTCTTGCCAGTCCCAGTAGCTCCACAGAGACCATTCCTGGAAACTACTACTCTTCTGGCCTCCCAGCAGTTTCAGTGGAACCCCTGACTCCTCTTGATGTGGGTCCTGAGAGTTTGAAGGTGGTGGAGCCAAAGGATACTGGAGGACAATTGCAAGGCTTCTATCCTCCAGCTTCAGCTCCAGCCTCAGCCCCGGTCTCAGCCCCAGTTCCATCCCAGGCTCCAGCCCCAGCTGAAGCTGAGCTGGTCCACGTGAAAGTAGAAGCTATTGTAATCTCTGATGAGGAGACTGATGTGTCAGAGGAACAGCCTCAGGGTCCTGAGGAACTGTTCCCACCTGGAGGAGCAGTATATGGGGGACAGCCCTCCCAGCAAGAGGCTTTTCAGGAGCCAGGGGCAGCAGGATTGGAGGAGGTAGGACCTAGTGACCAGTTCCTGCCTCCAGATCCTCACGTATCTTATCACCTGCTCTCAGGTCCAGGGCAGTATCATCGAGGACTGGTGACCTCACCCCTGCCTGTACCTTCAGCCCTGCATGAGCCACTTTATCTGCCTTCTGAGTATGAAGCAAACCCAGGAAGCTTTGGGGTATTTACTGAGGATGTTCCTACCTGCAAGACATGTGGGAAGACCTTCTCATGCTCTTACACACTTCGGCGACATGCCACAGTGCACACACGTGAGAGACCCTATGAGTGCCGCTACTGCCTGCGCAGCTATACACAGTCAGGGGACCTCTACCGCCATATCCGCAAGGCTCACAACGAGGACCTGGCCAAACGCAGCAAACCGGATCCAGAGGCTAGCTCCGTTCTAGCAGTGCAGCCCCTCCCTGGCTCCCCAACAGTAGATAGAGCAGTGGTGGTGGAAGGCCACCCAAAGATTTTGTACTCTGCCCCCAAAACTAACATGTAACATCTGGGGGAGCATGAGCTGATTCTAGGCCTACTCTTGCCATCCCTAGGAGGCAGCACAGAAGATTGGAGGCATCTCCTTATTCCTACTGGATGACAGGATGAAGGCTCTGCCCAGGCTAAAGGTTTTCACCCTTTTTTTTTTTGCCCAGCCAGATAAGCAGGACTTTTTTGGAGCAGAGCATATCAGGCGGCTCTCTCCAAAGGCACTAGGAATTTTCTGAGATATCGTTGCTTCTCATTCCACATTCTGGAACATAAAGCTAAACAGTGAAAATATTTCTCTGAACTAGCTAGCGTTGGCTGGTTTCTTCCATAAACCTGCATGCCTTCATACCTCTTCTCCAGTTCTTTTGGTAAACCGACAACTGTACTTGGTGTTTGGGTGGGGATCAGATTGTTTATGGGGGGGAAAGTGAGATAAGCAGAGGACAATGTAGACTCTACTTGAAAGTATACAAATTAGAGCTATTTTTCCAAATTAGAGAATCTTAACACAATTATGGTTTATTATTAGAGTTCACTGCCCATATTTTGGGCTCTATTAGTTACTTCATACAATACTCACTTAATCCTTATCCTCAACAACTTTTTGAGGTATTAGCATCCCCCCCCATCACAGTCAAGGCAACTTGAGACTCAAAAGTCAAAGTTATCTTGTTCAAGATTAAGGGGCAAGCTAGGATTTTAACCTGTCTTGTGACTCAAAACACCATGTGTGTTATTCTGGTTTAAAACATTGTTGAAGGTAGTTAATCAAGAACTATTATAGAAGTTATTTTATTTTTTTTCCCTTGAGTGTTTGATTTGGTTCCCTTGTTACCTCTGCTTTCCATGTAGACTTTTGGTTGACTGTTTCAACAACAGGTAGCTGTATGGATGACTTGAAAAGTTTGCCCAAGTTGTAAATGTGAATTTAGGTTTCTGAAGATGAAAACACCAAATTTCATAGTGCTAGATATGTGGGGGAAGCTTGTGGGCCTGTGGTGGTTGGAAATGATGGATGCTTGGGAAGGCTAAAGCAGGAAACTCTGGATGAGAAAGCTTTGAGTCCATTAGTCCGACTCCCTTACTTTGAAAGAGTAATGACAGGACTGGCAGGTGATGTGGTGGTTAAAGCGCTGAACTCCCACGTGGCAAACTGGTTTGAGTCCCAGTCCTGGTGGCTTGCTTTCACACTCTCCCTCTCTGTGTCTCTCTCTAGTCAAATTTAAAAATAATAATTAATAAATAAAATTAAATAATATTTTTCAAAAGTGTAATAACAAAGGGCTAGAAAGGTTAAATTACTCACCTTAGGTCACACAGGTCATTAGGTTAGTGGAGATCACAAAGAAATGAGAATTTAAAGTGTTGACAGGAGAGGGGAGAAGCTCTAAGAACATTAAAGAAAAGGGTCTAGCCCAGCCAGTGCTGCTATAGGATGGCAAGAGGCCTTGCTACAAACTTCTTTTCTTTTGGAGAGGTTTATGCTACAGGGCTTGTGCACTTGTCAGAAAGACAAAGAGACAGAGAGACAGATCCCTTCTCAGTCCCTTTTCCTCCATTCTCCTCAGGATCTTCAGCATGCACGCACACATGCCCGGCATGAGTTTAAGCCACTGGGTCCACGACCCGAACCGCGGTTGACTACATGGGAGTTCTGCGACATAGCCGTTACACTAACTGCTGGTCCCCCTACAAACTTCTCGGCACTTAAGGATCTATGTGCAAATAAAGCAGGAAACAAACCAAAAAAAAGGTGAAACTGAGTTAATGTTTTTGAATTTCTTTTTGTGTCTATATGTCATAATCAGCATTGCACTGTGAACTCTTATCAGCAACCTACTGTTACTCAGTTGTAAGGAGGAGCTAGAGGGTCAGTCCCTCACATGGTGGTTAAGGCAGCTGGAGCTCATCTGGCCAACTTCATGGTTTGAGTCCCCAACCTGGCAGCTTGAAAACATGTTGGACATATGTGTATGCATGCTCAAAATCCTGAGAGGTGAATGGAGAAGGGAGTGCAGCATGGCCATTCTTCCTGGCAGGTCTTTTCTTACTTTCTTTCTCACTTCAACAATGCATCTTCCCTTTGGCTTTTTTTTTTTTTTTTTTTTTTGTTTTTTTTTTAGGTTTTCATGTAGATGCCTTTGCCCACCAGAGACAGTGAGAGGGAAAGTGAAAAATCACCCCTCAGGAGGGATGGCCACGGTGCAATCCCTTCTTCTCCATTCTCTTCCTGGGATTTTTGGGCATGCATGCACATGTGCTGGGCATGATTTTTAAGCTACCAGACCCAGGACTCAAACCCAGTCAGCCATGTAGGAAGGGATCCAGCATCTTAACCACCATACCACCTGCTGGCCCCATCCCTAGGGCAAATTTTTTTTTAAAGAATTATTTTATTTAACTTTACTTATTATTATATCATGATTATTTTTCAGTGTGATCAGAGAGAGAGAGGAAGTGAGAAAGCAAGCCACCAGGTCCGAGACTTGAACCGTGGTTGGCCATGTGGGAGTCCAGCGCCTTTAACCACCATGCCACTTGCCGGCCCCCCTAGGGCAAATATTAAAAAAGAATAAAAAGAGAGCTGAGTTGGGGCCAGTAGGTGGCACGGTGGTTAAGGTGCTGGACTCCCATGTGGCCTACTGCAGTTTGAGTCCCAGACCTGGTGGCTTGCTTTCTCACTCTCTCTGTTGAGCATGTGTAGTCTGCAGCAAATTAAAAATAACAATAATAGAGGGATCAGCAAGTGGCATGTTGGTTAAGAGTGCTGGACTCCCACATGGCCAACCACAGTTCGAATCCCAGACCTAGTGCTTGCTTTCTCACTTTCCCTCTTTCTTTTTCTCTCTCTCTTAACTCTGTACCTCTCTGGTCAAATTAAATAAATAAAATTTAATAAAATAATTCCTTTAAAAAAAAGTAATAAGGGGGACCAGCAGATGGCATAATGGTTATGTCACTGGACTCCCATGTACTTGACCACAGTTTGAATCCCAGGCCCGTCAGCCTAAACTCATGCTGTGTGCATGTGCATGCGTGCCCAAGATCTCAAGAGGAAGATGGAGGAGAAGGGATTGCGGCGTGGCCATTCCCCCAGGAGCTGATTTCTCACTTTCTGTCTCTCTGTTTCTGTCTTTTCAGCAAGCACACATACGCCCTGTAGCAAAAATCTTTTTTAAAAAATAATAAGAATAAAAATAATTCTAAAAAAAAAGAGAATTGAGCAGTGACTCTTTGCCCAAAGATTGGTCACTTAACTGGGGCTTGATGGTGGCGTAGCAAGAAAACTTTTACGCTTTCTGAGGCTGGCCCTCATGGGGAGGTTCTGGGCTTGCACCTGGAGATCTTCCTGAGTATGCCAGGCACACGTATGTCCATAAACCAGGGCTGGGTGAAGCTGGGGCTGGATCAGTGTCAGCAGCCTGCTGGAGGTACTGGCTGGCTGTCTGCCTTGCTCTTGGAAAAAATAAACTTAAAGGCAAATGATTATAATACAATAAAGCTTTTTATGAGAAATAAGAGTTGATGTTGAACATTTTTGCTACTGAATGATTTCTATACCTTTCACATTTTTTTAAAAAAGAGGGTGCGTGTGGTGCATGCGCTCACTGGAGAGAGACAGACACAGTGAGAAGGAAAGTGAGAAATGATCCTGGGCGGGGGGGCTGGCCATGCCACAATCCTTTCTTCTTCACTCTCCTCCCTGGATCTTGGGCACACACTCATATGTGCTTGGTGTGGTCTTCAAGCCACTGGATCTAGGACTCTAACTGCGGTCCGCCATGTGGGAGTCCAGCGATATAACCTGCGCAGCATCTACTGGCCCCAGTCTTTCACATTCTTCACATTAGAATAACTTTCTAGTTTATTTTTCAAATAGCTTCTAATTTTATTTATGGAGATACATTACTGCCTTTATTCCTTAGTGAAACAAGGCCAGATATAAGTAAGTGCAGTAGAAACTATTCTAGCCTAGTGGAGCACCTTTTCCAAAGTCTTCACTAGACTAAAAATCAAAAAAAATTTTTTTTTTGCTATAGGGTGCGTGTGTTCACCAGAAAGACAGAGAGAGACAGAGAGATAGAAAGTGAGAAATTACCCCCCAGGGGGGATGGCCATGCCACAATCCCTTCTCCATTCTCCTCTCGGGATCTTAGGCATACATGCACACATGCCTGGCATGAGTTTAAGCCACTGAGTCCGGGACTCAAACTGCGGTTGGCCACATGAGAGTTCAGCGACATAGCCATTATGCTAACTGCTGGTCCCAACATCAAAAATTAAAATGACTATGAGAACCTTTTTTTTTTTTTTTTTAAGTTTCCTATAGGGTATGGGCATTCACCAAAGTGAGAACTATGCCAACAATTCCCTTGCCTCTATTTTCCTCCTGTGATTTTGGGCACACGCTCGCACGCGCGCACACACACACACACACACACCTGGCATGATTTCAAGCTGCAGGATCTGAGACTGGAACTGCACAGTCTGCCATGTAGGATCCAGCCACCTTAACCTCCACGCCACCTGCTGGTCTCCACTTGAATTTATTTTTATTTTTTTATTAAAAAAAAAATGTTAATCTTATTTATTTATTATTCTTGAATTTGACCATAAACAAAGAGAGAGGGAGAGTGAGAAAGCAACCGTCAGGTCCAAGATTCAAACCATGGTTGGCCATGAAATAGATAGATAGATAGATAGATAGATAACAAAAATTTTAGAACTTGTTTTTCTTTTTTTGAATTATTTTATTTAGGGTCTAGCAGGTGGTGTGGTGGTTAAGGTGCTACACAATTCCACATGGTCAACCACAGTCTCTGTCTGGTCAAATTAAAATAAATGAGGAACCAGCACTTGGTGTAATGGTTATGTCAGTGGACTCCCATGTAGTTGACCAGAGTTCGAGTTCTAGACCTGGTGGCTTAAACTCATGCCAGGCATGTGTGCATGCATGTCCAAGATCCTGAGGGGAGAATGGAGGAGAAGGGATTGCAGTGTAGCCATCCCCACTGTGGGGTGTGTGTGTGATTTTTCGCTTTCTGTCTTTATCTTTCTGGAGAGCACACGTGCCCTATAGCATAAACCTCCCCAAAAATAAAAATGAAAATGAATGAGGGGCTGGCAGGTGACATGGTGGTTAAGGGTGCTAGACTCCCACATGGTGACTGCAATTCGAGTCCCAAACCTGGTGGCTTGCTTTCTCTTTCTCTCTCTGTCTCTCCCTCCCTGTCTGGTCAAATTAAAATAAATAAAGTTAAATTAATTTTATTTATTCAT